TCTAAGAAGTAGATTGTGAAGTTAGCAGATATAGCTTGAATTGTTTGGAGAAGCGAAAATAACATAGTTTTTTTAAATGCAGTGGAATAGTCTCCCATATTTTCGATGCAATGAAAGTAAAAGTAGGAGCTCCATAATTATTACGTATTAGAGGCCTACGGAAGTTAAGGTTAGAAACAAATCTATTGTAATGGCTATGATAAAGGCAAGAATGAAACATAGCAAGGATAAGCAAAAGTACTACCATGACTGCCAGGGTGCCAACGAGCTACCACCACTCAAATCGGGTTATTACGTCAGAGTCAAACCGGAGCCAAGGTCAAAGGAGTGGAGAGCGGCAACAATAGTGCAGAAACATGCCCTGCCTAGGTCATATGTGGTAGAGATGGGCGGCCAAAGAATCAGACATAATCGAATAGCCCTGAGAAACGACTCAACAAAGTCCCATATGGGATACCTGAAACGTCAAGGAAACATCGCACAGCAGACAGAGCCTGAGCTAGACAAATCAAATGCAGGACTCACGTTCCCAGCAAGCCTACAAATGGAGAGTTCACTACAGGGATTCCACTTAAGTCCTTCAGCTGCTGAGGAAATCCCAGCTGAAGATGTACCACCTTCATGGGATGTTATGAATGGCAATACCACTGGTCATTATTCACAGTTATGTAATTTTCGAGTTGTTTGTTAACCAATCACATTAAACCACGCGGTTTGGATTGGAGACCCAACATGGCGTCTGTGTCATGAATATGTAACTCCTCGTAAGCATAAGTTTCTTTCCTCCAGAGTTAAGCACTATGCCAAAGGCTAGTTCTAAGCGGAGATGTCTATTTAAATCCTGAACTTACGGCTTTAAACTCAAGTTGCACCAGGAAAAATTCAAAGTTGAACTGTGTTCTGTCGAACAGTCGCTCTCTTTGCGACAAAATAGTAAAATTCCAAGGGTAAGTTTATGGTAGAAACTTGGATGTGGTCGCTGTTACTGAGACATGGCTCCATGATGGCTATTTTGATGAGGTAATACTATTTTCTTCACCATATACAATATTCCGAAAGGATAGAGGCGGCTGTAAAAGAGGTGGTGGTGTTACTTGCTGTGAAAACAGACGTCTTGGCCTACAGAATACCTGACCTTTAGCCACAAAACTCTGAAATTCTCGTGTGCGATCTTGTCTTCCGAATAGCTTTAAAATAACGTTTTGATTGTGTTACAGACCGCAGAACTGTTATTCATTTATGGATAACTTTGAGTGTTTAGTTGCAAATTTGCATGAAATCAGGTAGAATTTGCATCGTTGCCGATTTCAACATGCCTTCCATTAACTGGGTTCATGTTATTGACTCGAAAAATTCTATTGATGGAATCAAGTTCTGCAATCTACTCAATTCCCATTTTCTTACTCAAGTTGTGAAGGAACCTCCTAGAATTTCTAAATCCAACATGACTATTTTGGATCTGGTTTTTTTACATTTGTCCTTAAGAAATACTTCATGTTAGCCCCATTGAGGACTTCAGTTCTAACTATCTCGTGGTCAGTTTCTCGATGTTAACAGAACTCAAGCGCTTGAAGAAATCAGGTCGGACAGTTTACAATCAAGAAGGCTGATTTACCCGGCTTGAGGTCCGCTCTGAGGAATCTCTCTTGGAACACTGTGTTTGTGGATAATGACATTGACGCCAGTATTGCATGTCATGACATGTCTGGTATGAGATGTCTTTATCACGTGTGGATGAATTTGTTCCGAAAGTGGTATTCAAAGATTCCAATAGACCGCCGTGGATTGCTAAAGAGGTATTATTGTTAATATGAAAGAAGAACAGAACTCGACGTAAGGCTAAGTTAAAGGATTCTGTAAAGTTATGGGAGATTCCGTGAGCTCAGACGAAAGGTTGAGAAAACAGTTAAATTTAAAAACTGTAGTCACCTCACTAAGCTTAGTTGTTCCTTAAGGGACAATCCTCACAAATTCTGTTCATATTACAAAGCAACTACTTAAACTACCAGAACTCCTGGGTTAATGAAACACGAATTGGTACAGGCTACCAGACCTATTCATCAAGCTAACTTATTCAACGTGTTTTTTCACTCAATTTTTGCCCTATCTGACTTTAGCAGCGCTACTGTATGTTTACCCATTGTAATGTTTTGATAGTATTGTTTACTGGAAGTTGTGTTTGCGGAAGTTCTTGGTGTTTGTACACATGCAAAGGATCAAGGATAGTTGTGTGGGCCATGCTTCGGGGTGTCATGGCGGCTGAATAAAGTGTAGTTTCTTTTTAAAGTTACATCTGGTTTATTATACGGCCATCCAGGTGACATCGTTACATTGGCGACAAGGATTCAATTCGTTTTGTGAGGTAGTGGATGTTTTTGGAAGTCATTTCTGCGGAAAGTCCTGGCATATTCTCAAAAGATGATGGGTGGTGGAACCGGTTCGAGTACAACGTCAAGTTCACAAGCTTCGCCAGCTGCGACGTTTGTGCCTCTTCTTGATGTGGGCAGCCTTACTCCCTTCAATCCAAAGGAAGATCCAAACACACTTTCAGTTCACTGGAAGTTGTGGAAACGCTCGTTTAATCTGTATTTGGTGGCAAAAGGTATCACGAAGGATGAACATAAAACTGCATTGCTGTTGCATACTGGAGGCTTGAATTTACAAGACCTTTATTACACGTTATTGACCGGTGCGGATATCAAGCCGTTCGCTGAGTATGGAGTTGTTGGATAACTATTTTATTTTATTTATTTCGCACCACAGTTAAATGTTCCATTCGAAAGGCATCAGTTTAGGCAAATGGACGAAGCGTCAGGAGAGTCGGTGGATCAGTTTCTTTGTCAGTTGAGGCAGAAAGCAATCTCATGCGAGTTTGAAAATGTCGATGAGGCAATAAGAGATCAGCTTATTGAGAAATGTAGGGATCCCAGCCTTCGCTGAAGGATTTACAAGATTCGGCTCGTGTGCGGGAAGCAGTGAACTTGCAGGCCAAGGCTATGGATCAGTCATCCGGTCAAGTAAATACTGTTTCCGGCAGACCTCACAGCATAGGAAAAGGAATAAGGAAAGTACAGGGTAGAGGCACAATAATAATAATAATAATAATAATANAGGCATCAGTTTAGGCAAATGGACGAAGCGTCAGGAGAGTCGGTGGATCAGTTTCTTTGTCAGTTGAGGCAGAAAGCAATCTCATGCGAGTTTGAAAATGTCGATGAGGCAATAAGAGATCAGCTTATTGAGAAATGTAGGGATCCCAGCCTTCGCTGAAGGATTTACAAGATTCGGCTCGTGTGCGGGAAGCAGTGAACTTGCAGGCCAAGGCTATGGATCAGTCATCCGGTCAAGTAAATACTGTTTCCGGCAGACCTCACAGCATAGGAAAAGGAATAAGGAAAGTACAGGGTAGAGGCACAATAATAATAATAATAATAATAATAATAATAATAATAAAAATAATAATAATAACAATAATAATAATAATAACAATAATAATAATAATAACAATAATAATAATAATAACAATAATAATAATAATAACAATAATAATAATAATAACAATAATAATAATAATAACAATAATAATAATAATAATAAACAGTTTAATGTGGAGAAACACTTAGCTAGAAGCTAGTTTACAGGTTTTCCCCGAAACAACGTAAACAAATCATTCAAATTGAAAATAACGTTGTTAAGAATCCCAACTGGCCGAAGGCAAACCTGTTGGCTATATTACAAGCATGGCCGAGGATTTGAAACTGGGGCTACCGGGAAACAAATCCAAGTAGTGGCCAGGGCGGGACTTGAATCCGGGAGCGACGGATTGCAAGTCCGACCCGCTGACCACTCGAGCATGCTGCCTTCAGCAATTTCCTTCAGGCAGAGGAAATAAGCCCGGTAAAACCGTCTAGTGGTTCTCAGGGGACAAAAGTGAGAGGCTGTTTTCGCTGTAATTGCACTGACCATATGGCACGTGACCAGAATTGTCCTGCCCGTAGCAAGAAATGTAAAACATACGGCGAGATTGGACATTTTGCAGTCTGTTCCACAACAAAGGAACTAAAACCTTTCGCAAGGGATGACGAGCGAAGGAATAATACACGGGAGAGAGCTTACCAACTATCAGAGGATTCAGCCCCTGGCCAACAAGATTATTATGCATTTGCAGTTGGAGTTGGTCAGCCTACAAGTTGTAGTGAAGTAGATTTGAGGATTGGAGGAGTGATGTTACCCGCGGTACTTATTGACTCTGGCGCGTCATGTAACGTGATCAACCAAGCAACCTGGGAAGTTTTGAAGGAGAGTGTCCAGTGTCAATCCAAGAAATCAAGCAAAAGGTTGTTTGCTTATGGGCAGAAAGATCATATTGAGGTGATCGGGACATTTGTGTCTGAGATTGTATGCGAGATCAGTGGCATCAGTTGTGTGGACGAATTCACAGTGGTTAAAGGTCCAGGAAGACCTCTATTCGGAAAGAACACTGCAGAGACCAACTATCAGAGGATTCAGCCCTTGGCCAACAAGATTATTATGCATTTGCAGTTGGAGTTGATCAGCCTACAAGTGGTAGTAAAATAGATTTGAGGATTGGAGGAATGATGTGACCCGCGGTACTTATTGACTCTGGCGCGTCATGTAACGTGATCGACCAAGCAACCTGGGAAATTTTGAAGAAGGGCGTATTAAGGGTCAGTCTAGATGTGTGTTCGTTAACTGTTGAGAGAAGTGATACCGACATCCGTGAGAAGTACAGAGAGGTTTTTACAGGGGTCGGGAAACTGAAGGATTTCCAGATGAAATTACATATAAAAGACGATGTTCGCCCCTTGCACAACCCTTACGGACACTGCCATTTGGGTTAAGAGCCAAAGGTTGACAAGAAGTTAAATGAGCTGTTAGCAAAAGACATCATCGAGGAGGTGTCACATAACCCAACTGAGTGAGTGTTGCCGTTGGTTGTTGTCCCGAAGACAGATGGTGACATTCGGATTTGCGTGGACATGCGCAGGGCGAATTCAGCAATAGAGAGGGAAAGATATCCTATCCCTACAATTGAGGAAATCTTGTACGACCTTAATGGCTCAACTGTTTTCTCAAAACTCGACATCAAGTGGGACTTCCACCAGGTGGAACTTGGTGAAAGATCGCGCGAGATCCCAACGTTTGTTACCCACCTTGGTTTGTACAGGTACAAACGTTTGATGTTTGGGGTAATATTGGCGCCTGAAAAGTACCAGATAATTGTGGCGGATGTTTTGCATGGTTGCGAGGGAGTGGCTAATTTGGCAGATGATTTGATTGTGCATGGTTAAGGTATAAAGGAACACGACAGGAATTTACATGCCGTTCTGACCCGATTGAGAGAAAGGACTAACTTTGAATGGGGACAAATGCAAGTTTCGTCTTCCCAAGCTGAGAATCTTCGGTCATGACCTGAGCAGGCAAGGTGTTGCACCCAGTGAAGAGAAAGTAGCCAAGCCCTCCACAAGATTCTTCACAGGTTAGATCATTTGTTCAGCTTGTACAGTATTCTGCAAAGTTTCTTCGCAATTCGTAATAAAGTCGTTATGATAAATCAGATACGATGAATATATGAAGTTCATATGTTTTGAACTGCGGTTATAGATAGGTATGATACACGATCCTCGCAGTAGAGAGCGCTACTTATCATCACGGGTTTGTTACGAATCAACTTAACGGCCTGCTCCCAGTTGGCTTGTTAGCTCAATTGGTAGAGCGCTGCACTAGTATCGCAGAGGTCAGTGGTTCGAATCCCGTACAGGCCTGACTTTTTTTCAGGTCTGATTTTCGCTATTGCATAAATAGCGCTCTCTACTGAGAGGATCGTGCATCATACGTATCTATAACCGCAGTTCAAAATATATGAACTTCATATATTCATCGTAGACTCAATCAATGTGAACCTAAAGACTCAAGTGGGGAGGAATTTGACTTTGTTAAGGCAGTCGCCGAGGAGAGTTTACCTGTTGCTCTGACAGCGAAACAAGTCAAACGAGCTTCTGATAGTGACCCAGAACTTGCTAGCCTGAGACAGCACATTTTAAGTGGGGACTGGTCTCAATGTAAGAAGACAGCTTATGTATGTGTCAAGGATGAATTGTGTGTGTTGGGAAAACTTGCTCTGCGTTGTACAATAAGTGTTGTTCCGAAGGCTTTACGGGGAGATGTCTAGCGTCTTGCCCACGAGGGACATCAGGGCATTGTAAAAATGAAGGCATGTTTAAGGACAAAAGTTTGGTGGCCAAAGATTGACTCAGACGCAGAGCGGATGTGTAAGTCTTGTCATGGATGCCAAGTCGTAGGTAAATTTGAATTTCCTGAGCCCATGAAATGAGTAAAGCCGCCAACTGGACCCTGGCAAGACATCGCCATAGACTTGATGGGTCCTCTTCCCACTGGAGAAAGTTTGCTCGTAGTCGTAGACTATTACAGTAGATTGTACGAGGTTGTGATCATGCGTTCAACAGCAGCTAACAGAGTGGTGGGTGTACCGACACAGATATTCTCCAGCTATGGATTTCCATTTACACTCAAATCTGACAACGGTACTCAGTTTTGCTGTGAGGAGTTTGAGAAGTTTCTCTCTGATCACGGAATTGAACACTTGACATCTCCACCACTCTTGCCGCAGGCTAATGGACATGTCGAAAGACAGAATAGAACTCTGCTTAAGTCTTTGAAAGTTGCTCACGTCCACGGAAAGAACTGGCGTGAAGAACTGCAGAAGTTTTTGTATAGAAGCACACCGCAAACAAGCATTGGCGTTACTTCTCCGTTCCTCATGTTTGGCAGAGAGTTGAAAACAAAACTTGCAGAGTTAAGGTGCGCTGTAACCTGTTTGACAAGGGGGTCAGAGATCGTGATTGGAATCACAAGTTGATTCACGAGGAACATGCTGACAACAAGCGGGGTGCCGCCGAAAGCCCTGTAGTGCCTGGGGATCTGGTTTTACTGTAGAACACGAAAACGTCTGGCAAGCTGGAAGAAAATTTCGAGAGTGAGCCATACACAATGCAGACTAAAGAAGGCAGTCGCAGTGAGGTGACTGTCAGGTCCAAAGAGGATGTGGAATATAGGCGGAACCGTGCATTGGTTAAGCGGTACAACCCACCAGGGGAATTACCGGAAGCCACAGAGGCCATTTCTCAACACGCTTCCAATACCCTTCCACATGAGGAGAATAAAGCGACATCAAGACCAAGGCGGATCGACTGTCAGAATCCCGGAAAGTACAAGGACTATGTACTTTATGAACTGAACTCTGTTGACACGTTGGACTTATGTTGAAGTCTGTTAGATTCGGTTTCATGTTACTAAATTTATTAAACAGTTTTCATGCAGATAGATTCTTTTTTTTTTTTTTGCTGTTATCTGTTTGTCTCTAAAGAAAGGAAGGGATGTAATGTTTTGATAGTATTGTTTACCGGAAGCTGTGTTAGCGGAAGTCCTCGGACATTGTAAACATGTAAAGGATCATGGATAGTTGTGTGGGCCATGCTTTCCGGGTGTCATAGCGGCTGAATAAAGTGTAGTTTCTTTTTATAGTTATATCTGATTTATTACACGGCCATCCAGGTGACGTCGTTACACCCTGACTCAACTACAGCGTTATACGTAAATTATATGAAGTACGCCTTAGCCCTAGGAACATTCTCAAACAGCTCCAATCGCTTGATGTTAACAAAGCTTCCTCGGGTCTTCCCAGTAAGTTATTGCAAGCATGTGCTAATGAAACTTCACCTTCGTCATGCAGATTATTCAATTTGTCCTCAGAGCTTGGGATATTTCCATAAGAATGGAAAGATGAAAATCTTATCTCTATTCATAAATGTGAGTCTAAGACAATGGTCTCAAACTACTGTGGCATTTCACTTCTTGATATTCTATCTAAAATCTAGGAAGCCGGACATGTTTATAATGAGATCTTTAGTGTTATTTACCCGCATCTTACCCACTGGCAGAGGCCTATTCTGGGGCCTTAAGTCGCCGTAACTTTGGGTGACTTTGGGCAATTTAAGGCGACTTGAGGCGACTTAAGCAGAATTGGCAGAAAAAACATTGCGACTTCGGGCGATTTAAGGCGATTTAAGACGACTTAAGGTGATTTTATATGACTGAAGTGAGAAAATCAAAGTTAGCAACAGTCTCTACATAAACCTTAGAAATATTAATAGAAACCCTTGCAATAAACACAACATGATTAGAGTGGGGGGAATGGGGTCGATTGGGAAGGGTGGAACCCTCATAACATCGCGTAACCAATAGCGACTTAAGGCGACCTAAGGCGACTTAAGGTCCCAGAGCAGGCATTAGCAGCATGGGTTTCTACCAGGAAAACCCACTGTGTCTCAACTATCTCGAGTTGTTCATCAATTTACTAACGTTCTTGAGAGGAGACAAGTTGATATTATTTGTTTTGATTTTTCTAAGGCTTTGGCCGTGTGTCTCACGAAACATTTTTATTTAAGCTTGAGTGCCTCGGTATTAGTGGATCCTTGTTAACTTGGTTTAGATCATATTTATTTGGTAGAAGACAGAGTCGTGATGGATAACGAGTAGTCTGATTTTCTCCCTGTAACATCTGGAGTCCCGGAAGGGTCCATATGTTTTAGGGCCTTTACTGTTTTTGCTTTTTTCAATGACATTCCTAATGCAGTTCCAAAAGTGACATCGTTACCCCTCTTTGCTGATGACTCTTAGTGTTTTCGCTTAATTCTTGGCCAAGATGACGGCGAAAAATTGCAGGGTGACTTCAATAAGCTATTTCAGTGAGTCTCGAATTTGGGGAGTAGATTTTAATGTCAAAAAGTGTAAGGTCTTAAGGGTAGCTCAAAGGAGATCAATTGACTATTATCTTGATCGGATTAATCTGGGTTGTGTCGATGTTGAGAAAGACCTAAGGGTTTTGGTTAGCAACAATTTAAGCTGGAATAATCACGTTGATCTTATCTCTTCTATAGCTAAAAAAATGCTCAATGTCCTTTATTGAACATGCAGGAACATAAATGATATTAGTACAAAGAAATTACTTTATACATATTGCTTGGGTTCGCTCGCGCCTAGAATATGCTAGAGTGGTATGGTCACCTTATACCAAACGAATCATCAACAATTTGGAACAAGTTCAAAGCAGGGCTACAAGATTCATACTCGTAAGGGATTATTCTGAATACGAGCGCCTTATAAAGTTAAATCTATTACCTTTGAAGTATCGAAGAGAAATTAATGATTTAGTCTTCTTTTTAAAATGTCTTAAGAATATACATATATAAGTTAAACATTTTCGATTATGTATCGTTTCGCTTTTGTACCAAATCGTTTTAGAATGTTGATTATTTAACGTTTGATGTCCCTTTCAGCAGCACTGACGTCTTTAAGAATTCTTTTTTTGTTCGGATTTGTCGACTGTAGAATGAATTACCTCTTAGTTTGATTTAAGAGAGTCAAATACCTTGTCAATCTTTCGTAAGAATTTGATGGCCTTTTTTTATGATAAGTTTAATGTAGATTTTTTTTAATTGTATCTTTTTAATGACAATTCAAACTGACTAAAATGAAATTATTACTTAATAATTTCTCTAGATGTATGCATGATGTAATAATAGGTGGCTTAATTTTAAAGGAGTCTTGTACTCTGTTTTAAGCCTACCTCAGATTGAGCGGTTGATTGATTGAATTGTCTTTGTGATTGTAAAATCTTAGATTTGATTAAATTATCATTATCGTTATAATTTTATTTAACAATGAGCTCAAAGGTTTGGGATCTTTTCAATCCGAAAAAAGACATCTGACAAAGTCTTACTCCCGCTTGTCCTTGAAATCCTGGACTCTGATGTTCAAACGGATCCACGAGAGGAGTTGTTGTTATTCCTAATTGGCGGACTTCAACGGTGATGTTTACAATAGATCTCTTGTTGGTATGGCCAAACTTGATATCCCTGATGTCATTCAAATCTCTGCGCTTTTCATAAATCCGCTTCTACACATTTTTCACTGCAGCTCTAAAATCTCTTTTACGAATGGAGTAGATGTTTGGGTTAGAAGCTAAATTGGCAAGAGCAATGCAATTGAGGACTTATGTTACCGTGGCTGGAACTTTTCTGCTCTGCAATAAATGACGACTGAGACCACCTGCCTAAACAGGAAGGTAACATGTCAAAAGAACCGCTATGATGATGGTAACAGCTGTTCAATATATAGCTGCTCTGCATTCAATTCGTTCCTTTGCCCTCCTTGATAGACTTTGTGCTTGGTTTTCTGAATCATGTAAGGTACTAATTTGTACAGCAACCGCGTTCCCTTGCAAAGTATGGTTTGCTCTCTTTAAGACCGAGTAATTGAAAAACGCCATGGACAGAAAAACAAGAATCGTGAACACTAACGCATCAATGAGGATTGGAATCGGAATTATCCAGATCAGAGCTACAAACAGCACTCTCAGCTTGGATATTTTGCCATCGTAAGTCAAAGGCGATTTGATGATGGCCTTGTATCGTTCGTAAGATACAGCTGTCAGATGGAGAAATGTGTTGACGTAAAGATATTGCACGAAAACTGGATGAAGATGACACATTATTTCACCGTAAGGCTATTTTTCTTGTGCCTTGCTCACGATTCGGAATAAGTTCACAAATGTTATGAATAACACATCTGACACTGCCAGGCTAGCCAGAAGAATATACCGCATCACACGCAATCTATTCTCCAAGGCGATCGTCAAAATTACAAATAAATTTCCAAGAAGACCGATGACGTCGATCATGGTGTGGAATACTGCAATTATTTAGGGAAAACCATTTTCTATCGAAGCGTTTTTTCATGATAAGTTTCTGTCAAAAGCGTCGTGTGCAAGGATAAGAGTTTTATTTCGGCCGTAGAATAGAGAAAGGTGTGCTTCGTTCTTGGTTTTTTCTTTTCATTATTATTATTTTTTATTTTTATTCTATTTTATTTTATTTTTTTGCGATTAGGAACCCTTCACACAATTCATATCGTTCTCTGTGTTCAACATGTTACATTGAAGTGCAAAATTCGAATGTCTGTGACTCGGATCCTCTTTAGGAAACTAGCGTGTTTTCTTTTACCCACTCTCCTGTTAAAGCTAATAACATGTTTCTTCCCCCAAAGACCCGGGCCTAGAAATTTTCCATCGCTTTTTCATCTTATGATCATTGCTACGATTATTCTCAAATAACCGATCGTAAGCACTAAAATTTGAAAAATAGTGTATTAATGCTGCAGTGGTGGCAGAGAAAGTTGACCAATGAGTAAATCAGTGGGCGGGAAGTAATAAAGATCCCCAAGGGGATGGAATAAAGTTGAAAGCATCACGTGGTTATCATCATGTTTTTAGTAAAGGAAGGAAGAAGACAACGAGGTGTTTTCGCGAACAGGCTAAGCGTCGAATACTCTAACATATTGATGGCGGATATCCGAAATTTGTTGCTATTACTTAGGCTGAGGGCTTACGTAATAGAGTGTTATGTATTGTCGCGATGAAATAATGCCATCTTGCAAGACTATGCAGGCAAATGACTTCGATACTAAAATATAATTAAACGAACTATTCTTTTTTTTCTGACGGGGTCAAAACATTTGAAATTAAAAGGAAAGCCACCTCCCACTGACCCACTGAGCAGACAAGTGAGTGAATCACGTTTCTTCTTTATTGTTTGCGTTTGACGTAGTTATAAAATAAATGACTCATTTTACTCTTTATTTTTTTATTATCTCTTTTTAAGGTGAGCTAGTGTCTGACAATGTTAATGTATCCTATCTATGTATCGCTTAGAAGATAGAGTTCCATATCGAAGTTTTGTATCAGTCATCGAGTTCACACGGTGCTTATAAATCTGTTCAAATAAAAAAAAGCCGATATTAATGAAAGAGAAATTTGGTAATCAGAAGCACAATGTAGGGCGTACAGTGTATCCATAATAAATATCTTTAATCGCAAATGTGTGGATATCCGATGACACACTTTATTTAGAAGTAGTATCGACTATTGTTTGTGCAACCGTAACATGTGAAATAGTTAAAAAACCCAGCCGCTCAGTCGCTTTGGAATTAGCTTTGGCACGATATTTGTCGGTGAGGTGGTGGACTAAGGAAAACCACATAAAAATTATGAAATTTTTTAGACTACACAAAGGAAGCGGGAAGTAACTGAAACGAAATTTGACACCTGGTCAGGTAATCAAGCTGAGACCACAGGCGGCCCCAGCTCTCTTTAAGAACCACACAAGAAACACAATTTGCATATCGATTTATAAGGATTTGTATGGGGTTTTCTACAAGATATCCATGGAGATAGTTAAAAGTGAAAATATTAAATTAAAATGGCTTACCTTATTCTATACGTGTGTTGTTTGCTCCTGGTCTCGTTATTTCACCGATTTAACTTGATTTAAGCGGTTTTATTAATCCTGGTTTTCTCTTCTTAAACCAGGATTTAAAAAAAACCGCTTAAATCAAGTTAAATCGGTAAAATAACGATACCAGGAGCAAACAACACACATATAGAATTAGGTAAGCCATTTTTTTATTTAACATAATCTCTTTTAACTATCTCCATGGATATCTTGTAGAAAATCCCATACAAATCCTTATAAATCGATATGCAAATTGTGTTTCTTGTGTGGTTCTTAAAGAGAGCTGGGACCGCCTGTGGTCTCAGCTTGATTACCTGACCAGGTGTCAAATTTTGTTTCAGTTACTTCCCGCTTCCTTTATGTAGTCTAAAAAATTTCATAATTTTTATGTGGTTTTCCTTAGTCCACCACCTCACCGACAAATATCGTGCCAAAGCTAATTCCAAAGCGACTGAGCGGCTGGGTTTTTTAACTATTTCACATGTTACGGTTGCACAAACAATAGTCGATACTACTTCTAAATAAAGTGTCATCNCTTAAACGCGGATATTTATTTACGGGGAGTGCGTGACAGAAGTATGCGAAGCGGAACGGAATTGGCGCGTTGTTGTGTTGCTGTTTCTATTTTCTTCATTAAATGAAGAAATTTTCTGATCGTCAAGCTATTTTTCTTCGTTCGATTCATGTAATGAACTTGGATCTATATTTGCCAGCAATTCTGACTCTTCGCCGTCGGAAATATGATTCAAATTGTCCGCCATTTGTTCCTTTTTTCGTAACTACATTCCAATTCTTCGCTTGCGCGATGCAAGAAAACCTGTTTAACCGGTACTCTACAATAGACGAGTACAAATACCACGTGATATTTGTACTCGTCTATGGCGTTATTTGTACTCGTCTAGGTGTAGTTGGATAATAATCAGCCATACTACACAAGAAAACGTCTCAGTAATAAGATATACTTATTTATAATTGTAGTCTCCTCTTTGCGCCACTAGGCGTTCAAAATACTGCTTGGTACTCTTGATTATGATGCACAAATATAATGTCTTGACCATTTATCCATTTTGGCGTAGAGCGGAAATGTTGGGAAAAAAAACCTGAAATTGTGTTATTATTCCTGAAATATCTAGTGTCAAGAACAATGGCAATTCACTCTTTGAAAGTGCTAAATGGAGGCTGACTCTGAATAACTGAAGCCGCACATTCCTCCTATTTATCATTATTACAGTGTTTCTAATATACATGCACTTGACAAGACTACTGGACTGTTTATAGGTCCTCAGGCTGATACACTTGCAACGCTCAGAGATATTTCGGCCGACACGATTTTCACAGAAATTAACATGATCGCCTCTTAGCGATAAATTTTATCAAGGAAGAAGCAAATGACAACACGTACGATGGCCATTCCTCGAAATGGAAACCTGGACCCCGTCCCATAGGGATGGTTTTAAAGAAACCAAGGAAGTTTAGTAACTTTGGTGATAGAATACTGAATGGCGAGTGTTGTAAAATAAAAATTTTCAAATAAAAAATGGAGAAGAAGCGTTTACTAATACTATATAAATGCTTGTTCGAAGAAAGTGATCTAGGTAAAATTGATACTCAAGTCCTTTACCACAGTGAAGGAGAAAGCGTACAGAAAACAAGTAATTATCCAAGATTCAAGCCTGGCTTAGCGATAAAGCGTCTCAACGCAATATCTGATATGTATTATTATTTTCTAAATTTGTATTTCAGTACTGGAAGCTACGTGCAATAGCTAAACACGAACGTGAATATGAGCGCACTTTTATGAGGTGGCTAAAAACAATATCACGGCCACATTTGCTTCGTGCTTGCTTCGTGCTTGCTCGAAGAAAGTGATCTAGGTGAAATTGATACTCAAGTCCTTTACCACAATGAAGGAGAAAGCGTACAGAAAACAAGTAATTGTCCAAGATTCAAGCCTGGCTTAGCGATAAAGCGTCTCAACACAATATCGCATATCTATTAATATTTTCTAAATTTGTGTTTCAGTACTGGAAGCTACGTGCAATAGCAAAACACGAACGTGAATATGAGCGCACTTTTATTAGGTGGCTAAAAACAACATCACGACCACATTTGCTTCGTGCTTTGGCACATATCTCCTTGGAGATATTTCTAATTTCAAGATTTAAAATTCAGAGTCTGACGCTGATCAGGAACAGATGAGGACTAACATTCTACTCCTTACAGTCTCGGCGCAAATGCCCAGGCGTGTAGTCCATTATTCAAAACACGTAAACGTACCCTTCCTAATAACAGGACGGAAAATACCTCGTTAATTCATTGACCATGGCATAATAAGAAAGCTTTTCGTCAAGATCAAGACCTATTTTTGTCCTCGATCACCTATTATTATTTTACGTTTCGCTGATGTAATTATTTAAGGATACTCTTAATTCTGATTATGGCTTCGGTTCTTCATAGGTCTTAGGTCTTCATTGTTTTTAAGCAAAAATACATGCTAAAACAAGAAAATTTACATAAAAATAATTACAAGGCTATCAACATTACATATTTCAAGACATTACATTAGATAGCTACTCTATATTTAAAACAGAACCTGTTAAAAAATATATTTTTAAAACGCTGGGTATTTACCTAGGGAGTTGACTATTAGGAACTCGAACGCGCGCTGAGCTTTCTTTCGTTTTAGGGACAGAAGGGTACTGAGAGTGACCAGGCATACTGGCGATCTTCTTGAATAGTAAGCGATCAACCTCTTCTAACACACTATATATATCAATTTGGTACGAAATATATTTGCGTTTAAAGCAGCGCTGTTCCTTCACTCCCCTCGAGTTGTCGAAACGTCAGTTGTCACGATCAGCGACAATCCTTTTCATGACGGCTCTCACGTTCGATCAAACCACATGGACTGTAACTGCTATCTTCAGGTCATTTACAGTACGACATTAATCACTAATGCACGTTTCTACTGCGCATACCCTTCGAGTTTTACATAGGTATTCCAAAAAAAACCACAAATTCCCAAAGCAACTTTGAGTATGATAGGAAGTGGAAAATTTCAGATAACATTCCCATTTTCCTTAATGTGCGTACATGGGTGTGTGTGTGAGTGTGTGTG